GGTCAAACAGATCCTTTCTCAAAATCCCACCTTTTCCTCTCCGACCAAAACTCACCGTTTTATCAGTTGCCACCAGAGAAGACAGTATCATCCACAGCGAAGAAGACAAAGACAACCTCAGATTCGATTTCATGTCTTACATGATCGGTAAAGCTAACACCGTCAACAAATCTCTAGATTCCGCCGTCTCTCTCCGTGAACCGATCAAGATCCACGAAGCTATGCGTTACTCTCTTCTCGCCGGAGGAAAACGAGTCAGACCAATCCTCTGCATCGCCGCTTGCGAATTAGTCGGCGGCGAAGAATCAACCGCTTTACCGGCGGCTTGCGCCGTCGAAATGATCCATACCATGTCGTTGATCCACGACGATCTCCCTTGTATGGACAACGACGATCTCCGCCGCGGAAAACCAACGAACCACAAAGTTTACGGCGAAGACGTCGCCGTTTTAGCCGGAGACGCGCTTTTAGCGTTTGCGTTTGAGAATTTAGCGTCCACAACGTTGTCGGAGGTTGTTTCTCCAGCGAGAGTGGTTAGAGCGATTAGAGAGTTAGCGAAAGCTGTCGGAACAAAAGGGCTTGTGGCTGGTCAAGTAGTGGATCTAAGAAGTGAAGGAATGGATCAAAACGACGTCGGATTAGAGCTTTTGGAGTATATTCACGTTCATAAAACGGCGGTTTTGTTAGAGGCGGCTACGGTTTTAGGAGCGATTGTTGGTGGTGGAAATGATGAAGAGATTGAGAAGCTGAGGAGATTTGCGAGATGTATTGGATTGTTGTTTCAAGTGGTTGATGATATTTTGGATGTGACGAAATCGTCGGAGGAATTAGGGAAAACCGCAGGTAAAGATTTGATCGCCGATAAGTTGACGTATCCGAAGCTAATGGGTCTTGAGAAATCTAAAGAATTTGCAGAGAAGTTGATGAGAGATGCTCAAGAACAGCTTCAAGGGTTTGATTCTATAAAGGTGAAACCTTTATTGGCTTTGGCTAATTACATTGCCAAAAGACAGAATTAGTTTCAAATTGTAACAAAGTGGATCAGAACATTATAGTTTCTGTTGTACTTTTAAAGATTGTAAATTTTTGACTTTTGTCAGACGAATCTGTTTTTTTCATAAGACTCGTGTGTTTTGTATTGTTTGATGATTTGATAAAAGTCTAGATCTGGTAAAATTGTTTTGAAGTTAATTAGATCTTGAAAGAAC